GGGGCTGGGGTTAACAGTGGGGCTGGGGTTAACAGTAGGGCTGGGTTGGGAGGCAGGACATGTAGGTGAGAGAGGGGCCAGTGGAACTGCAGGTTGATAGGAGCTGGGTAGAAGGCACTGGGTACACTGGAGAAGGTGTATTGTGTGTGAGAAGTGGTTGTGGGGAACTTGAGGTATGCTAGGAGAGGGGGAAACCTGCTGGGGAAACAGCAGCTCTAAGTTTTGCTTGAGGCTGGGCACAACCTTGATGTTGCAAGATGCAAAGGTAACACCAGATCACCATCACTCTTTTCTTCCACGAGTCCAAGGCTATCACTCTCTGGCACCTCACACTAGGACTGAGGCTGATGCAGCACCAGTCTGCCTTTCGATCTCAATCTGATGATTTAGCAGCACTGCTGAATTGCCGGAGCCAGTTCCTAAATCACTTGTGTTTTTCTTGGCAGCAATAAAGTACTGCCCTGACCCAGCCTTGTTTTGATTATTAGGTCCAGTGGACTGGGGTGGCAGCCCAGCACTGTTGAGAGTAGAGTCTGAAGCTGACAAACAGGACTTACATGCTGATGCTAGCACTGACGAACAACTCAGGCAAGTCATTTAACTTCCCTGTGTCTGTATGTTCCCATATGTAAAATGGTCATAATAAAAATATTCATCTACATTTTCAGTGTACTTTACAATATCGGCTTAAAGACTACTTTGTCAGCAGATGCTGTTATTATAGCAGGCAGGGACAGATACCACCATATCCTCAGAAACCTCATGTGACCGTTGTTTCAAACTCTTCTCTTTTTTTGCCATTGATTCATAGGCAAGCCTTTTGTGTCACTAAATCCTCATGTCCAACAGCTGGTTCTGGTATTTCTGAATGGTGAGGGGTTGGTGCAGCTTTATAATAAAAAGAGGGTGGCGTTACGCCACCAGCGTCTCAAACATAAATATGGAAACATTAATTTAGAATCAATTTTAGAATGTTTCAGACTGTAAAGTTCTTTTAACTAGATCTCTGTTGAGGACAGAGGAGCACTTTATGGGACTGTAAATTTCATGCAAACAGTCTCTGTGAAATACAGATTCCCCCTACACACTAGCTGTTCTCTCCATATCAATCATATGCCTTGCAAGTAATGTTTCACAAATATTCTGTAAATCACAGGAAAATGCTCGCAATAATGTGAAATATGACTTTCACTTGACTGTTTCACCAGAGGCCCCTAACAGGCCATTCTCCTGTCAGCACTAACATTTGTTATGGCTAATAACATTTTCAATCACAACTATTTTGGGAAAATGGATTTGTTTTAAACCTGCTTCCTCGCAAAGGAGATCCTGAAAATGTCCTGCCAAGGACACAGACTCCTTACAGAGCACAGACCGTTAATTCCCAAACGAAAATTAATCTCATCTTAATTCTCAAATGTTGTTTCTTAGCCAGCTTTTTGAAGACTTTGTTTTCAGGCACTGAGGTACATGTTCACCTCTTGGTCACTGTGTTCAGTCTGGTTCACTAACAGCAATAGAAAGTTACTTTTGAGCAGGTATCTTGGGGATATTCTGGAACTGATTTGGAATTTTGCTCCAGATTCTAGGAGAAAAGGCTTAAGAAGTTTGTAGGTAGGAAATTGGTAATCTTGGCGACTTGTATTACATCGAAAGAAACATCTTATTCGGAAAACCAAAGATTTTGTGTCATTTTAACTTTTTTTCTCTTAAACCACACTTTAAATAAAACCCAAAATTGTGCTTTTCTTATGTAGGAAGTCCAAGAACTGTATTTGATGAGGCACAGATTCCTTTCTTAGGCATGTTGATACAGCCTGGGGGAGAACAACGCACCAGTGTTAATGCAGCTGTCTGTGACCTTGTTCCCCTTTCTGCATCTGTGTGTGTACACAGATACTGACGTTTAACTGCGAGGCTTCTTGAGATTGGTCAGTGTCTTAAAGCCAGATGCATCCATGTCAGTGGAATTCTTACCTACCCGAATGGAGAGCTTAATCCTCTGACATTTCGTCCCCCTACTAAGTGCACCGTCTAATTTGTCAAGCTGGAACAGGGGATATCATACCGAACCAGAAGTGTGCCAAAGAAATTTGGCAAAATACGGATTGCTTTATTTAACACCTGTGTGAAGGGATGGAAGGAAGTGCAGGCAAGGGATGTTTCTGGAGCTTATGTCTTCTTGCCTACAGTTCCTACCATTTCAGGTTTTCTTAGATTGTTTAAAAACATATTATAGAAATTACATAAGAAAAAAACAGAGGAAATGTCTGTCATGCCAAAGGGTCCCAAAGTGCTCTCCCAGTGCCAAGGCCAAGCACATCTTCCTGGAGTGGATGTGGGCCCAGTCCAAATGACTGTTGCTCCATCACGTGAGTGAGGGCACATTGCACTACTGTGCTAACAGGCATTTACAGCCCCCTTGACCCTGTCACCCCCCATAAATCCATACCTATTTGTGCTCTCATTTCACCCTATTTATTCTCTGGCAGGTCAGAGATGAGATGCAGTTCATATGATGAAGCTGGTGGGAAACCGAAGCTGAGGGAATGAGTAACATCAAAATGACTTTATTAACAGAGCAGAGAAGTGAGCTCCCACGGTGAAGCCACCTGTCCTGGAAAATAGTCTCGAGTCTGTCGCAGATTCATTGTGCAGCTTCAGACATACCAGGAACTCTCCTTTTGTCTCAGTTTTCCTATCTATGAAATAAGTATAAAGGAAAATGAGATTAAATTAATGGCTAGTAAATGCTTTAACATTATTTGCCAGAGATTTTAAATGTGATTCTGGTGGTAATTCCTTAGTATGGACTTCTATCTTTGAAGCCCTTTTTTTAACTTCTTTCTCACTTTCCTCTAGGAAGAAGAGATCATGATTTCTGTCAAAGAGCAGGAAGACATCGGAAAGCTCATGGTTTTCTTGCAGGAATGGGATAATGCCCGCAAAGTTGCTCGAAGCTGCATTCTGGACAACTTCATTAAAAGCTGTGATGGCAAGACACAACCAGAGCTGGAGCTGGAGTTTTCCCAGGGAGCCAGCTTGTTTCTGGCTCGCCTAACAGCATGGCTCAGGATGACGTATCCCTTTCCTTGGACAGCTGGAAGTGGTGTGTGGTAGTGGGATGGAGAGGAAGGGAAAGTCCTCTATTAAAAACTTGTTCAAAGAATAAGCTTCTATATGGACACGTCCATGTCCAGCCATGTTCTGCAGGGTTAAAAAAACCCTGGCTATCTAAAGATGGAACTGGAGGGAAAGTCATGTAACCTGTCTCTCAGGGACCCAGAATTAGTGGTTTTTGTCTTACTGGGATGGGCGTGCTGCCTCTGCCCACCTGTGAGAGGAAGGTCCATGCTCTCTCGCAGACAGAGTACCCAGTTCAGACCTCCATATTGCCAAAGGCTGTCTGGGGGACACCACGATGTTCTGTACATCTCTCCTTAACCTTGTCGAACAGCTGCACGTACAGCATGTGCCTCAACAAGCTGCTCAAGTCCATTGGCATCTTCTTATCTGCTGCAAATGGGTGAGTATAGAATGTCACTGTGTGAGGTGCCACGGGGAGGGCACACAAGGGTGAGGGGGTAAGTAGAGAAAGAAAATAATTCCGTGGCAGTCTTTTGGGAGGGCTGTGTAAACACTTCAGGCAAGGCAGGCCCCAGTGAGGCTTGTGGTAGTTATTTCAAATGCTCTCAAAACCAAATCCACTCCTTGTGCATGTCTGCAGAGCCACCAGGTCACTGATACGATGTGGAAGGAGTGTGGTGAGAGTATGAGTGTGGAGACAGGCTTTCTGTGCCTGTGGTTCAATATCCGAAATGAGCACAGGTGACCTGCTGGCGGCAAAGCACGCAGCTGGCGGGCATCTGCCTCCGCGCTCCTAGCTCAGACTCCTCGTGTTCACTGCCCGGGCACTGGCCACCTGCTGCAGCAAGGCAGGAGGTGATGGTTCCCAGGAGCATGGCATGCTGACAGAGAAAGATGGGCTCCAAGGTAGGTGACGCTTTTGGCTTTGTTCCCCCGGTCCTTGCAGACACAGATACCTTATTGAATTTCTGGAGATCGGAGGGGTCATGATTCTGCTGGAAATACTAGGGCTGAACCACCTGAAAGAAGAGGACAAAAGGGAGTCTGTAAAGCTGCTGCAGCTCGTCGCGGACGCTGGCAGGAAGTATAAGGAGCTCATTTGTGAAAGCTACGGTAGGCGGCGTGTCCATCCGTGCTTTTTACTAATTCAGGTGAGGATGTTCTCGCTGACCTCTGGCCCCCGGGGCTGCTTGCCGCGCTGAGCCACTCCCTTCCCTCCACCTGCTGGATGGCAGGTTGCTGCAGCGTTCCTCTGGCTGGAAGGAGTTCAGAGCCTCAGCTATTGTTGAGTGGTTGCATTTTATCCCCTCTCAGTTTTTAATGAGCTCGCTTTCTTTACAGTCATTTGATGTGATATTGCTGTCCTGCTGGTTGCAACTCCTCCAGTTAAAACCACAGAACAACTTCCATTCTTGCCTGCAGCGTTCACCTACTGCAAACTTTCCCAGACTTCTCCTCTGCGGGTGGGAGGGTTTTGTGGCTTGTATCTTTTGAAAGAGCATTACAACGTTTTTTCTCCTGTTTTTTCCTCCTGGGCAGTGGAAGCCAACCCTCATTAATTGTTCTGTAGTTCAGATTACCTTGTCAGAGGCTGTGGGGTGATACCTGCTGCCACAGCTTCCTCCAAGAGAGATGAAGCAGAAGGATCAGCAGCGGGATCCTTAGCAGCACTGTTGGCATCCCAGTGCCAGACTCTCTGCTTGTGTAAAGGCCTGCAGAAGGGCCTTGGCCACCTACTCCAGCTGAGAATTTTGCCAACTGTTTTTCCAGTTGGTGGTGTGGATCTTGACAAGGAGAAAGAACTTCTTTCCTGGCTTCCATTCTTTGAGCCACACTGCGAGTGGGATGTGGTACTAGGTTCTCTCGGGGTGACAATGAAGCAGCTGAGATGGGTGACCTAGACTCACCCAGGCACACAACTTGGTGTCTCTTTCTCTGCACAGGGGTGCAATCTCTTGCCGAGTTCTTGGCCACTTCCAACTCAGCAGAGGCTCAAGAAGACGCGCAGGTTCTGCTGGACTCTTTGGGCCGTGACAATCCCAAGTACCAGAACCAAGTCTACAAAGGCCTGGTTGCTGTGCTGCCATGCGCCTCTCCCCGAGCACAGCAGCTGGCTCTGCACACGCTCAGGGTCATGCAGGTGGGTAGTAGGCCTCGCTTGGGGAGAAGGGCAGCATTAACTTCTGTGTCTGTCCTTCCTGCCCTGGCAGGAGCTGGGCCAGTCCCCGTGGTGTTCGGGGGATGGTGCTTGGAGGATGGCCTGGAGTACTGTCCGAAGACTGTCCCTGTCACTCTGCCCTTCTTCCCCCAGGACGTGGTGGGAAAGGCCCCCTCCTTTCTCGTGGAGCCCGTGCTGAGCGTGCTGTCCTCAGTGCACCCGCAGGTCCAGGAGGAAGGTAGGAACCGTCTTGCAATCCTGCACAGTGACTGATGGGGTCTAGGGGAGGCTGTGGCTGGGGGCAGGAGTGGTGGTCTCTAGACCTGGGCGAACGTGGCAGGGGTGTGCGCAAAGGCAGTGGGGGCGGAGGGCGGGAAGCCTCGGCCCGGGCGTCTCGGGCGCTCTCGGACCCGCGGCGGA